GGAGGAGGTGAGCTGTAAGCCAGTGAGCCAGCTCTGGCACATATTCTAATTTATTTTCAGGATTCCATTCATTTTGGCTTTTGCTTCAAAAACCTGAGGGAAAGAAAGGTGGGGATGACAGGATAGCAGTGACTGTTGTCTGCCAGCTTTTTGGTGATCCCTGGTCACCCTTCATTTCCTAAGTTGGAGTAAGATGATTAGGGATTCCTGAGCATGCCGGGTGCCCCCAAGGGCATGCTCCACTGCAAATGTTGCAGGCCGCCTAGGTATCACTGCAGCTGTCTTACCTCACTAAAGGACAGGGACTCAGACCCCAGGTCCCCCTGTGGGACCCAGACACACTGCAAGTAACAGAAGAGGTGCAGTTCCAACCAGGCACTGCCTACCCAGGGCCTCAGCCCTCCCTGTTCTCTATAGCATTTAGCCCGACAACAAACGCCAGCCCCTGACTTTGAGTGGCAAATTATAGCCTGGTTGTATAATAGCTCTCCATCTTATTTATTCATTTTTTTTGAATTCCTAAAAAATCATTGCAAGTAGATCAGCAAGCCCCCTGCCCCCCGCACCGTGGAAGTTTGATAATGTATGTCCTCCCCGCTTAATTGATTGATTACCTCACTGCAGCTTCCTGAGGTACCGAATTTATCTCTAATAGCCAGAGTCAGGCTCTGCAGGCAACCGTGGGGGGGGGACGGGGGTCCCTTGGTGTCGATTTGCTCTTAACTGGAAAGTCATTACCACTTAATACATGTAGATTGTGTTGAAAGAAAATTATGTGTAATGAAATGAGGGAAAAATTAGTGGAGTGTTATGGGCGAAAGCAGATGTTAGGGAGGAATTACGCTGGCAGAGATAATCACCTTCGTTGGTATTGTGTGTGCTGGGGTGTTAACCGAGGAGAGGCTGGAGAGAGCTAAATGAATGCATTGATCGACACACTCGCCCTCGCACCCGCAGCCAGGAGCCACCCCCAGGATGCGGTGGCCAGGGCCTGCACAGGGCGGCTCACCCGGATCTGTGGCTATGGCTCCCCAAGATGCTGGACACGGCAAGTGCCCCTGCTGGAGCCCAGGGAGGCAGCAGAGCGGAGCAGCCCAGGGGGGCCAGGTGACGAGCCTCGAGCTGTCATTCTGGTGGCAGCATTAGCTGAATCTGGGAGAAAAGACAAGACAAACATCTCCCCACCAAAGGGAAAACCAAAAAGCAACAGAACACTACTCAAAGAGCGCCCAGGCTGAGCGAGAAGGAGGCCACGGGGTCTTGTGCAAACAGGCTGACCTGCAAGGGAGGCGGGGAGAGGCTGTGCTCCTGTAAACCAGGGGCAGTGGGAACTCAGGGCTCAGGGGGTCCTTGGGTGAAAGACCAGGGTCCACAGTGCAAACTTCCCAGACCCACCGCCTGAGGGACACTCCAGAGACCAAAGAGACAAAGGTCCCTGTGCACAGTCACAGGCGCACGAAGCAGGGGACAGCTGTGCTGTGGCTGGGACACTGATGTGCAGTGGCCCCTGGGCTTTGAGGATTCGCAGCAAACTGCTAGGAGTGACATTGCAAAGCGACGAGCCATGCAAGGCCTGCCTCGAAGCCTCGGTGTCAATGGCTTTGGACTAGGAGCTGGGGGGCGGGGCGGGGGGGGATCAGCTCAGTGATATAGCACTTTTGACTCTGGGAGAGAGCGTGCCTGAGGCCCTGGGTTTCACCCCCACGGTGCCCCAAATAATAATAATAAAAAGAAATAATTGGATTGACTGTCCTTATAGAAATTCCTAATATAAAACACTAGCTATCCTGAAGATAGTTCAAGTCCTCTAGGTTCTCTGCAGGACCAAGCACGCTCTGTAAAAACACACTGAATCATCTCTAACCATACGGGCTACAGGCTCAAAGGTGAGGGTTGAGTCCATCACATGACCACGCCGGATAATCTCTCAAGCCATTGTCCAGTCTGTAAAAGAGATAAATGCAGCCCAACTATAATATTTCCTTCCAAAGCACTGAACACAATGCTTAGTATCTACAGCAAGTGCTCAATAGTTTCTTTTCATTGTTTATATGAATGCTGTGAAGATTTTGCATAGATATATACTGCATGTGAACAGTATATTTGTGTATGAGTGTGCAGATACAGAGAGACCGAA